TTTTGTAAAGGTTTCTGATGGATGCAGACGGTGTGTTTTTATTGGCTTTGGCCTTGGGCAGACAAAGAACAAGTGTGTGTTAACATATCAATATATTGATGAAGTGTTCAATCACATAACGGATGCTCTCATCCCACAGAGTCTTGTCCAGCGTTGTGTTTTAGACAGATCTATTGATTAACGTTAACCGTGGAAATTCCAGGATTTGCTTCTCTGGGCATTAATGCGTGTTGAACATTTGTCAATACTCTGGCCTCTGGGAAAGCCCCAACTTTCTACCTCTTGCCATGATTATTAAATTATGAGGCAGTGCAAATCAATAGTTGAACTCTGTCTGGACTCCTATGGATTTCTGTGTGAAAGCTCAGCTTGTGAAGCATGGGACAAATGGACTTTATGTTTGATTGAACATATGATAGATATATCGCACTTAGTAGAGCTACAGTTTTCAGTACATACAACTGAGCGTCTGTCTTTATGGCTTTTGAATTAAAAAATAAATAACAATTAATGGCATTCACTAACAACATTAAAGCATGTGTGCTTGCATATTGAGTTGTGCTGCTCACACAGGCTACATGAGTTTGAATCCAGCTTGCAGTGTTTCCTGATACCGTCCCTCCTCCCTGTTTTTTATTTTCCTCTGAATTAAAAAAGTGTGAACAGGTCAAAAGAAAAAAGTGCAATCCGTTTTTGCTGTGCTCTGTGTCCGTTGTAAATCTGGTGTGATTTGTGTGTGTTTCAGGAAACATCGAGTACAGCTGTCCGGTGGTGAACGACTGTGAGATCACTAAGAGACGGAGGAAATCCTGCCAAGCATGTCGTTTCCAGAAGTGCCTGCGTGCCGGCATGATGAGAGAGGGTGAGCTCCTCTAGAACCTGACACTAAAACTCTTAACTATTATTTGACCGTCATTTTATCTTTAGATGTTTGCTTTCCGTGGCTAAAATAACTTATGTCCATATATGCCTACAGTGGGATCCAAAAAGACTGAGACCACTTATATTTAGTATTTTTTAGTACTGAATAAACAATCCAAAGATATTTGCAGCATAACCGTTTGAGTGAATATTGCAAATGTACTTTCTTTTTCTTTAGAAAAGTATTGTAGGAAGTAAATGTATGGTTAAAGCAAAAAAGATGCACTGTATTGTATGGTAACATCAGTTACTAACAATGAGCAATACATTTGTTACAGTATTTATCCAAGTCTCAAAACTTTAAAAGTCATATATGAAAAGTTGACATTATGACTTTAAATGTTGTAATTATGATATAATCATGATATTATGACTTTAAAAGTCAAAATTATGACAAGTTGAAATTATGCTAAAAAGTCAAAATTCTATCATACTAAGTTAAAATTATGGCATAAAAAGTCATAATTATGACATAAAATGCTGAAATTGACATACTAAGTCAAAATGATGACGTACTAAGTCATAATTATGAGATAAAGTTGAAATTATGACAAGAAATCGAAATGATGACATAAAGTCGAAATTATGAGATAAAATGCCAAAAATGATTTTTTAAATTGGCTTAGTTTGTCATAATTTTGCCTTTTTATCTCATAATTATGATTTCTTGTCACAATTTCAACTTAATCTCATTGTGAGTTTGTATGTCAATTTCAAAATTGTAAAGTGACTGTGTGTTTAATTTATGACTTTTATTTCAGAATTTTTACTTTTTATCTCATAATGATGTTTTGGTTAGAATTTTGACTTTATCTCGTAATTATGAGTTGTACTTGGCAAAGTCTTGGCAAAGCGTGATTTTGTTTCTTATATTGCAGAAATGGGCTTCCATACATTTGGACACAGTGTCTATCTTGCTATTGCTTAGTGAAGCTGTTATGACAAGAACAGTGAACACAAGTGTACTTTAGCAGTAAGAACTAGTCATGTTTATTTATGTTATAATGACACATTATTTTCCGTGTGCGTGTGTGTGTGTGTGTGTGTGTGTGCCCAGCAAACCGATCCGTGAGTCTCACCACACACATACTAACATCCATTAACACAGCCTTCATGCAACCCTTTAGAACATTTTAAAATATTAACAAAAGAGCAGCGGACCTGAGCAAGAAGGCCAGCATTAGAAACTGTCGTCAGTGGATTATGAGTGGTTGAGGATTTAACCTGATTAACGGTTTAACATCATCAATAAAACATGCTCATTTTTTCCTTTCCAGGAAACAAAGTGATCTCTCAGCTCCTCGTATCTGAACCGGCTCCTCTGAGAGCCGCCCCTGACCCCGCGACCCCTGACAGTGACCTTAAAACGCTGCTGACCTTATGTGACCTTTTGAACAGGGAGCTGCTGGTTATGATCGGCTGGGCCAAACACATCCCAGGTACACAGCCAGTGCTGATCTGGTGAATCCTCATCCAGATGTGCTGCATGAAGATAACCGCTGGCTGTGTTTGGCAGGTTTCTCTGGCCTCTCGCTGGTGGATCAGATGGCGCTGCTCCAGAGCGGCTGGATGGAGACGCTGGTGCTGAACGTGGTTTGGAGATCTCAGGGTTCGGCTGACGAGCTTCAGTTTGCGGAGAACCTGCGACTGAACGAGAGCCAGTGTCGAGCCGCAGGACTGCATGATCTCTACACGGCTCTGAGATACCTGACCTCCAAATACCAGCAGATGGGCCTCAACCAGGAGGAGGTGCTCACTCTCAAAGCCATGGCTCTGGCCAACTCAGGTATATATACACACACACACACATACATATATATATACAGTATATAAACCTCTTACATTAAGTTATGTGTAATAAAATGGAATGACACACGGAAAAAGTATTCCTGATCCATATGCTTGTATTGATGCTTCTTAAGTAGTGTTGAGGGATTGCCTAAACTCTGTCTATATCTGGTTTGTGTGATAGGAGTTCATTCTGCTTTATTTTAGTTCCCATTTTCAGTCTCAGACTCACTGGCAAAGAAAAACCAATCAATATGAACAGAGCAGTTCAGAGCACAGATCAATACATCCATTAGCCGCGTCCCGCATCCGACCGCAGGGCGTTTACAGTCAGACGACACCCAGAAAACTATCGTTTTTACACTTGACACAGAAGAACCTGAAGAGCGTGACCTGATGGACCTGGGCTAGCCCATTAAGCACCAACAAGGGACATTCTAGAACGCTTAACGTGGCTTAACGCATTAAAACAGAGTTATTAAAAGACCAAACTCAGTAAACACATTATTAATGAAGTAAACTATTTACAGACAAGCAGATGAACCCAGAATGTGAAGGCAGCGCATTTAATTACACGTTAAGTGTTTTCCTCCCATAGAAAACCACTATAAGGAAAACGCGTAAAGTGGCTTAATGCATTAAAACAGTGTTTTAAAAATACCAAACTCAAACATTATAAATATACATACATACATACATTCATATATATATATACAGTAGTCAACATTTGAAGTGGTTCAAAAAAGTGGATTTTTTGCACCCTCAGATTCCAGATTTTCAAATAGTTGTATCTCAGCCAAATATTGTCCTCCTATCCTAACAAACCATACATCAATGGAAAGCTTATTTATTCAGCTTTCAGAAGTATAATCTCAAATATTTTTTTTAATGGACCCTTATGACTGGTTTTGTGGTCCAGGGTGACATTTTTAAGTCGCTTTGGATACAAGCGTCTGCTAAATGACTAAATGTAAAATAATAGGAAGCGTTGGGTTCGTATCATGGGCTCATATCTGCTTGTCTGTACATAGAGTGATTTATTAATAATGTTTATTGAGTTTGGTCTTTTTAAAGCCACGTTAAGTGCTTTTCACGTTAAGCGTTCAGGGTGTCCCAGTGTTTAACACTGCGCTCCAGCAGCCGAGGGGCTCTAGTGACCCCGCCGACGCTTTCTTTCAGACGCAGAGAACGTGGAGGGCGCCGAGGCCGTGCAGCGCTTCCAGGACGGGCTCCACGAGGCCCTGCAGGACTACGAGAGCAGCCAGCGTCCGTCCGAGGCTCACCGCGCCGGGCGCCTGCTCATGACGCTCCCGCTGCTGCGTCAGACGGCGCTCAGAGCCGTGCGCTGCTTCAGCCGGCTGCACAGGGACGGACGCGTGCCCATGCACAAACTCTTCCTGGAGATGCTGGACGCCGCGATCTAGAGCAGGAGGTGTTTTAACCCCTAAAGTGTCACCCCCATTTCTGAACATAGACGTGAAAGTGCACTATCCAAACGACAATCTGCAGATCATTGCAGAAGTGGAACCATTTCAAAAAGTTATAGAAGTTTAAATTACTGTAAAGAAAACACACTGTACCAATTTTTATTTTATTTTATGTATTTTACAAAATATTTTTAAATCCAAAATTGATATAAAATTAAATCCTTATGTCTAAATAAGCTATGTTCCAAATTTGAAGTTGATATAAAAAAAATTGATATTTTATTTAGAGCGTCATACCACAGACAGCCACCGGGTGCCATCCAAACATGATTTTTTAATGCATTTTTCTGTCACAAATGTGACCCTGGAGCACAAAACCAGTCATAAGTGTCAATTTTTCGAAATTGAGATTTATACATCATCTGAATAAATAAGCTTTGCATTGATGTATGGTTTGTTAATTTTTTTGCTGTTACTTTTTAATTACTATTAAAAGCTAATTAATACTATTAGCTAATTATTAACTAAATAATTAGCTAATAACTAATTAGTACTATTAATTACTCTGCTATTACTATTCTATCACAAAATAACCACCCAATATGGAATTTTGAGACACAGACCTTTCCGACGATATGTATTTTGTCAAGTTTATTAAAAGTTTTGATACTAAAAGAGCGTAATATGACACTTGACCCCGCCCACTTAGGGGGAGGAGACCGCCAAAAGATATTAAAGTACCATTTCCATTGAAAAGCAATGTCCGTTTTCAAAATGGTTTTCACAGGATGAATTTTGAGATTACTTAAGTACGTAATAGAGAAAAAAGACAGGTGGGCTGGTGCCACTTAAGGGGTTTTAACAGAGCAGCTCAACCTCCAGGTGGACATCAGGGTAACCGCGTCCAGTGCGACGCTTAACGCAGCTGAAGCAGTCTGGCAGCTAAACTGCACTTGATGACGAGAGGTTCATATCGCTCTCCGTCTCACTGAAGCACAATCTTTTACTATGTATTTGATTTTATAGCTTTACATGATATATCAATGTTTTTCACTTTTTATTCTGTAGAGGTTCGTCAGTCTTTGGGAACTCGGTTACTATTGAAGACAGTACGGTCAGCATCATAAACAGCAACACAAATAGTCTGCAGTACATTGTCAAGCTATTGAGCAATATGCCTTTCTATTTATTGTCTAATTTATTACAAATGCCCACCTATCTGCTGTTATTTATATGAAAATAAATTATTTTTTTTGGAATTTTCCAGAGTGCTTTTTTCAGGTAAATGAGTGCATTTACAAACACAACAACTTTAAAAAGGTTAATTCAGTGTTCAAGGAAGAATAACTATATAACAGAAATGTGTTCTAATATTATGTAGATCATGACAAATAAAAATCATGTTAAAATTAAATTGTATATGTAAAAAGACAAAGATATATTATAATATTACACAAAAACTAATTATTAATGAATAATTAATAATAAATAATTAAATATTATATTATTTATCATATATTTTAATACATCTCTTAAATTATTGTAATGATAATTTTTTGCTGATAATCAGTTACACTATAACATAAAATACATTAAACATAAAATATTTTATATTATTATACAAAACTAATTATTAATAAAGAATAATTAAATATTTATATTCTTTATTAATATATCCATTTGAATTACCTCTTAAATTATTATAATTATTTATTTTACTGATAATCAGTAACACTAAATTAATTAAAAATGTATATTACAATTAAATTGCATATATAAAATACATAACATATACAAAACTAATTAATAATGAATAATTAAATATTATATGAATTATTAATACAACCTTTTAAATTATAATAATGATAATGATTTATTTTATTGATAATCAGTAATACAATTAATTAAAAAGTTTTATATTAAATTAAAGGGTTAGTTCACCCAAAAATGAAAATTAGGCTGTGTTTTACTCACCCTCGAGGCATCCTAGGTGTATATGACTTTCTTCTTTCAGACGAATCCAGTCGGATTCTCATTGGACGGGCTCTCACTGGTCGGAGAGGTCAGGGGTCGTCTTGGAGACGTGGGTGTCTGTGATCTGGCTGGACTGAGCGGTGAAGGAGCAGGACTTGGTGCTGCCGAAGCTGGTCTTCTCATGGATGCCGCTGCTGCTGAAGAGGAGGATGATGAAGGTGTGGAGAATGGCGACTGCATTCTGAGGCCGAGTCTCGCTTCGAGCTCACTGCACACAGCTAAACTGCGTCTCCCCGCGTCCAGGCCGGCTGTGTCCGAGCTCTTGGCTCTCTCCTGACAGCGCTCCACAAAGCTGCCCCTGCGGATGGAGCCCAGGCCATCGCTGCTGGCCAGAGATGACTGGCTCAGGCCGAGGTGGGGTTTGCTGAGGGGAACCAGCGGGGCCTGACGGGGCAGACTACCGGTCAGAGGAGCCGGACCCCGAAAACCACCGGCAGCTCGACCGATTTCACCGAACTGAGACTGAAGACTGTGGGGAAAGACATGAGAGACAATATAAATGAGCAACAGTGCCATCTACAGGCCATGAGAGAAACCAAGGCTAACACTTTATTTCACAGTGACTGTGTTACACCTGTATCAACTGTAATAATGACAGTAAGTTATGCATAATTACATGCAAATAACCAGGGGTGCACATACGTTTTTCAGCCTGGTTCTCATAAGAGAACCTGGAGATTTGATTTGATCCTCACACTGCACATAGTGTAATTAAATATAACTATAAAAAAATAAATTAATAATAGTGATGATATTATTGCACTTTATTTAGTTATTTAAAAAAATTATAATAATAAACAAAATAATAAAGTGTGATTATACTATTATATTCTAAAATAAAAAGGGAGTATTACATACAAATACAATTATATTATAGAAAACTTAAAAACAAAATGCTAATATTTACTTCTTTTTTAAAATATGAATTCCGTGTTTAGCGCTGCCGGTGCCAATTGAAAAGCGTCAGTCAGTGAATGAAATGTCACAGTTTTGCAGTGTGCTTTGAAAACGGCAGCGGGTAGCCTAGATTTATGCTTTCAGTTTGAATAGAAATATTATACAATACAGTTTGTCAATCTAAAACGGTAATTGTGCATTAACAGCTGTCAACCATGTCGGTACGCAAATGTGCGGTATGAACTTATTTACACAGTGCATTTTTTATTTTGGTCACGCATGCGGACCTGCGGACCACTTATGTGCACCACTGCATATAACTAACTGAATGTCGTGTTACCCAAAATTATATATAAATTAATTTAGCAAAATTATAAACAGCTCACTTCAAAAAATGTCACAAAACTTAAATGATTTGAATAATTCTTTATTCAATTGGCGAATCTTTTATTTGGTCAGTGAATCATTTCTTTACATGAATCATGTGAGCAAACTGATTCACTTAAGATTCACAAAAAGATACTTTTGTTTTAATTACTGTAGCCTCAGCCTCAAACGTCAAAGCCACGGACAAAAGTAAGTGAGATATTTAAAGCATAGAATCTTTACAATATGTCCAAGAATTTTTTTTACTTGTCTGTTATTGTGGCGACATTTCCACGCCCCTAAACATGACGCGACACAAAACGAAACCTGATTGGTTGCTTTACCTGGCCATTCAAAGGTTCCCTGGCCAAGGTTCCCAGACCTTTTGTCTGACTACACGAGACTATAATTACTGTAGCTCCTCCCTAAATTGAGAAATACTTTCTAAATGATATGTAAAACATTTTTGTCAAATGAAAAGATTGAAAATGACGTGCAGTATGCTATGTGTGCCCAATATAACTGCATATATCTGTAAGTGTCGTGCCAATTACCCAAAGCTCAAGGAATCAGTTCAAGATGGAGCTTTTCAACGGACTCTTTGGCTATCAACAAGCTTCCCTGCTGTCGATTTGCCATGCGAGAATCCATCCCTCTTGGTAATAAACAGAGTGCAGAAGAGAAACAGAGCAAGAGTGGGGAAATTAAAGAAAAGCAGACAGAAGCATTTCTAGCTCATTCCTGCATTATGGCGCATTTCCATTTTTTCGCCTCAGTCTTAATCTCCATTGAATGACTGTCATCGCCCTCCGGCAGTAATTAGGAACGGACTCTGGACAACAACAGACAAGTTGGCCTAGCTTGTCTCAAGCAGCAAATTACCTTTAGCTTATGGTAAGCAATATTCCGTGCCAGGCAACTTTTACTGCTGATTAGCAATTAGCCCAAACTACCGGCAGCCGAAGAGCTAATGTTTAATTTGGTCTGCTAATGATAGTGCACGCATCTAGTGTGCGCAACCTGGGAGAGCAAACTCGAGGGAAGGGGGTTGGGTGTAGAAACCTATGGATTTCTTCTTAATTCCTTTTCATTTACAAGACATGCCCTCAGGTAGTAAGGAAATTTCTTAGCGATTAGTAATGGCTGCCCCCTCAAAGTGGCAAACGAATGTTAATGCTTCTCTTCAAGGCCTTCACCCAGAAAATACACACTCCTGAGGCTAAATAATCATAGTGTTTTCTTTCAGAAAGACATGAGAGACAATATAAATGAGCAACAGTGCCATCTACAGGCCATGAGAGAAACCAAGGCTAACACTTTATTTCACAGTGACTGTGTTACACCTGTATCAACTGTAATAATGACAGTAAGTTATGCATAATTACATGCAAATAACCAGGGGTGCACATACGTTTTTCAGCCTGGTTCTCATAAGAGAACCTGGAGATTTGATTTGATCCTCACACTGCACATAGTGTAATTAAATATAACTATAAAAAAATAAATTAATAATAGTGATGATATTATTGCACTTTATTTAGTTATTTAAAAAAATTATAATAATAAACAAAATAATAAAGTGTGATTATACTATTATATTCTAAAATAAAAAGGGAGTATTAAATACAAATACAATTATTATATAGTAAACTTAAAAATAAAATGCTAATATTTACTTCTTTTTTTAAAACATGTTGTTGATTAAGATTAAAATATTTGAATCGTGATTAATCACATGATTGTATTGAGTTAACTCGTAATTAATCGCAACTTAATCGCACATTTTATCTGTTCTAAATGTACCTTAAATTAACATTTTCAACTTTTTAATACTCTAATCAACATGAGCATGGACAAATATGGATGCTTTATGCAAATGTATGTTTATCATTAGTGAAACCATGCCTAACATAGAGCATGAAGACTAGACATTTTTCATAGCTCATAGATGTTTTTCAAAGCACTTGTTCATGTCTATTAGACACATGAGAAAAGAACATAGAAACACCAGGTTCCCATTACTTCTCTTTCTTTGCACTGAGCAATTTACTTACACAAGCCTGTTTACATTATTCACAGGACAGGGCAGCTCACTTCTTCTGAACAGGCAAAATGTAGATTTATTATTTATTATTACATGTGTTTGCCTCTCTGTGCCCACATACTGTATTTTGATGCAGCCAAATTCTCAATAAAACTGTTTTCATTGATATATTTTACCGTTTCTGTTGTCAGACTGAATGAAGGAATGCATATGAAATAGTGACTGCATAACCAGCTCTACCTTCCAAAGTTATTAATCTGCACAAAATCCTGATTTACAAGTAGTGTAGCCTGTCAGTAGGAAATATCAGTTGACATTTTCAAACATTCATTTTGCCATCAATTGTAATAATCCAGTGAGATTTTTGTTCGTAATACTAGAACTAATGTAGCGTGCATATTCATGCATGCTTGATGTTAAATGCATTATAAAAACCTCTTTAGAATATAAATTGCAGCACATTTCAGATGATTAAAAAAACGGACCACATTTCTGTAAAATGCAGTAGGTTTAAGTGATTACAATAGGTTAACATGCATACCTATGTTAACATGTATAATGTTTAAGTTTGAGACTATATTACTGCAATGTGTAATTGTGTAGGCATGTAGTTTGAGGGTGTAGGACTGGAGGTGTGTGTACCTGCACATGGAGTTGCGTGAGGAGTGTGTGAGAGACGCGGCAGGACTCATGTCTGGTGTTCGGGTCAGTGCCAGATCACACTGGTCCAAAAGCTCCAGTAACTCCTCTTCAGTGGGACCTCCGAGAGCTTTAACACACAAATACATAACATTTCTGTTTTTGCCTGTATTGTGTTTCATTTAAACTGTTTAAGGAAACACTTTTTTTAAACACAGGCCCTTTATTTCAGAACGTGCTTCACAACTCCTTGTTCAAGCTCTTGTTCTGTCCAGGCTGGACTATTGCAATGCTCTCTTGGCAGTTCTATCAAACCTTTACAATTAATCCAGAACACGGCAGCAAGCTTAATTTTTTATGAGCCGAAAAGAATGCCTCTGTTTATCAATTTGCACTGGCTACTAATAGCTGCTCGCATAAAATTCAAAGCATTAATGTTTGCCTACAAAACCACCACTGGCTCTGCACCCCTTTACCTAAATTCATTACTTCAGACTTATGTGCCCTATCTTTCACTAGTTGCATTCACTCGTTTCCCAGTCATCATGAATGTTGAATTTTCAATACAACTGAAATATTTCAGAGAACATCATAAGCTAACTTCATGTTCAATTGATGTTGATTTTCCTCAAATGTTTTTTTATTTTTTTTATTCACCATTATAGTGATTAGCGTTCCCTT